GTAGGCTGATGTAAATAATAATGCACACACTTCAAAGGCGATGTTATTCGGTATGAGTAAATTTCTCCACTATTTATTTCAGTAACAACAGCAGCACTTTGATGGTCCGATAAAAAAGGCTTGCTAATTTTATTCACTTTTTTCTGATTAACCATTACGCAGGCTAATTAAAAGAAGATTTAAACATGGGAATAAAAAATATTAATCTTTTATAGGTTAATTGAATTTACAATATATATATGTAATATATAATTCAGTTATAATACAATATAGCACCACACAACTCACTTTAATTTCAAGTCTTAACCTCTTTTAAATATAATTGAATAAATGTAAAAAATTTTCATTATATTTAGCATTTTAAATGCTAATGTCAAATAATTACTTAATAAATTTAAAAATAAACATCACATTTGCAAGTTTGTTGGTTACAAACTGTCACATTTCTGTTCTTCTTTATTATCCCCATTTAATAAACAATTATTTATTAGAGAGTCAATTACAACTAAAAAAATAACACATGATAGCACTCATTACGGTATAATATTGAACAAAACAAATAACCTCCTGTTCAGTGTATTACTTTCGAGCAGAGAAGTCTTTCTGTGACATTGTGTATAGTCAATACTCTTAATACACTACGGCCAACCTAAAATCAAGAAAAAACTTTTCTAGTTCTTGTATAATTTCGCCGTCCCATTTCTTTTGTTGAAACTGACATTTTAATAGTAACATTGATTATATATTCATTTTCTCCTTATATTCCGATGTTTTGAATACTTGACTAAGACAATTGTAATTTTCAGATACTCAAGAAATATAAAAAAGGGCTCCAGCATGGTAAATCATCATCCACATGGGCTAGATCCGGCCTGGAAGAAGAGGTCATAATAATTGATGACGATGACTGGGAGGAATTACTGGGAGACACAGATAAGGAACCTTCGCCACGACCGCACTCACGACGGCGGGGACCAGGAGGGCTTGATACTCCGGAACCAGACGAGAACCTTGTCTTTGATGAAGACCCGCTGTGAGACCCTATCCGGCCCTATGTTCCAGCATTGGTGTCGCTGGATGAATACCAGCCGGGGCTGATTAAGGCTCTGGGAGCCATGGCCAAAACGCTGGGTCATAAGGACAACGAGACCTGTCCTCTAAAGAAATAGTTTGGAGTAAAAATCCGACATGCCTTGCCTGGAGAAATCCAGGATATGCCAAAGATGTGTGATGCGGCCGTCCAATGTGACTCAGTAGAATCGGGAATCGTCCCCACAGTTGCAGTAATAATAGCTCCAGACACATCTCCAAGCCAAGACTCCCAGTCCAATGGCCGTGGTGAACCATCTTAACCACCGGGATTAGCACCGACTAACAGCAGTCGGCAAACCTCCAACCAGGAAGGCCCAGATAGGAGAGCTCCAGTACAGCGAGATCTAGTGAAGACAGTTCCAAATACCGACCCTGGTTTCCCTATGGAACTAGAACCAGAGGTAGTGAAAGAAGATCCCGAACCCAGGGGGATTCCAGAGCCGCCTCAGCATGGTCCGAGGCTTCGAGTAAACCTGGACCGACTATGCTGGAACTGCGGCCAGTCAGTCCATAACTACAGATGTGGATGCTAGTAAGTAACGGTCCGGACTTGCAAACTTTGTCATGAGTACTGGAGGCGCATGGGACCGTATGTTCCGGCATTTAGGAGAAACATTCCCCGGGAAGCCTTCTACAAGAACAGAAGTGCTCGCCCAAGGCCTAGTCAGTCATGGAGATTAAACAAATCCGAGTACCCCTAGGCATACACTCTATCTCTCGTATAATCGTAGCAGTAGTAATTAGTCAATTTATGTAATTTTAACGCAAAGTTATTTTTAAACCCTTTCAGGCAGGAAGAAAACAGCGTTCCAGTGATGTGATCGTTCCAGCACCTGTAGCAAATCCTTCCGTATGGGAGGAGAAGTTGTGACGTGATTTTTCGATAACCTCCCATTGTCAGCTCTAGAATTGTCTTATTAAAAATTTAAGGCTGATAATGGCCAAGTTGGCGTGTTCCAGTCATGATTTGAAAAGTAAAACTATTTATCTGAAGCTCATTCGAGCAATTACCTTGACTTTTATAGTCCAATTGTGCATATTTTCGAGTGGTTTATTTATTTTAATATTTGTCCCTACGCCAAAGTATTTAATTAATTCATTGTTTTATTAATTTTATTTAAAGTCATGAGGCATTGTAATTATGTAAATTTATTTCTGCGTACTTGAGGCAAAATTATAATCTTAATTCGTATTTTGTGGCGTAGGATAGTTATTTATAAGTTCTTATTGATATGTATCGATTTATCAATTTATCAGTTATTATTTAATGCAAACTAAGGCTAAGGGATTTATTTAGTAATTAAATTTAGTGGGTAAATTTTCAATAACCCAAGTAAAGCAGAGTTGAGATAAACAAGTAAATCTGTCAACCACATGGACTATTGGGAGGAGAATTGGGAGGCTGTAGTGGAGCAGAGGACCAAAAGCAACATGTCACCCTGCGGTTTTCCTATGCTGGGAGACGTCCTAGCCCTAAGGGTTGTAGTCACGAGGCTGTTGCCGGTAAAATGGGACTCCAAGAAGAAGATGGAAGTATGGAAGAGGTCGTTTTTGAATTTAGATATTAAGTTTTGGAATTAGGATTAAGTTGGTGCACATTAGTTCCAGTGACCTCTCCATATGAAAATCTAGGAGAACTCACGTGAAGATAACCACCAATAGAAAATGTGATTTGACATATTGAAGACGTTTTGGAGTAGAGGGAGAAGAGAATGAAGAGAAGAAAAAAAATGAAGAACGAGATTTTGAAAATATTTTTGGAAGTCGATTGCGGACTGAGCTCCTAGTTAGTCGATGACATGTTGTGCCCATGAAGAGTCAAGTATTACCATCTTGTTGAGAGAGAAGAGCAGAGAATACTCCAGTAAGCAGAATGAAGATCAGAAAAGGATCTTTAATTCAAATTGAAGGACGTCCAAGACTACCAGGACCGAGTTCGACAAAAGCTACAGTATCGAAAGCTCTCTGCAGAATTTGTAAGTTATTGAGAATGGATTTGTAATGGGTTAAGAGGTAAATTTGTAGTTAGTTAAAACTAGGTTGTTGAATTAAAGAAAATTTGTGAGGCTTGGTTTCCTCTCGTACTCGTTAGTTTAAGCTTAATTGCAGATTTTGATAAAGAAAGTATGATTTGGTTTAGTTGATTTGATTTAAAGATTTGTTTATTGTGGAAAACTATAATATTGCGTTTGTGAGTTTAGAATTCTAAGTTACGATTTATTGAGGAACATTTTGTTAAGAAATATTCTTTAGTTAATATGTAAGGTTTACTTGAGCTCCAGAATTGTAACAAGTCAGAGTTTTAGTTAATTCATTTTGAAGATTGTGATAGCGCAACTGATTATTTGATATAGATATTTTTGATGATGTTTTGAGTTCTAGTAATTGTTAAGAAAACTTAATTGAGAAAATTATTATAATAAATTTGAGAGTTAAAAGAATATGTTGAACTTGATAGTTTTTTTCTAGTAGTTTGGGGACCTTCAACCCAGTCCGTTAGTTAGTTTATTTCATTCGGTCTCTTATTTTGATTATTTCTTTTGTTTAATTTTATTTTGTTGGCCGGAAACGACTCCTCTTCACAACCTACACAACTGAGGGCCAGGAAATCTCCCGTTCAGAAGGGTCCTTATTTTTGTAGAACCATCTTAGTTAAGTTAGATATAAGTTTGAGATTTAGTTTTAAGTATTAAGATTTCGAGATATTGTGTGGATTTTGAGTTAGTTAGTAAGTTGAGATACTGAGTTTAGATTTAAGTTTGAATTAGTTGTAAGTTATACCAGTTTAGTTGTTCTGGTGAATAAAAAAAACTTGGCGCCCTAGGTAAAGTAGTATTAGTGTCCCAGGGATGGTTCTAATCAGGATTCCCACATGAAGGAAGGTACGTTATAGAGTATACCCTTTTATGGGGGCAGAAAATTAACGTTACAATATATATGTAAATATTCACCTAAAAAGTTCCAAACTTCTCTGTTGTTATTGAGTTTTTTTTCCAAATTTCGTTGTATGCGCTTAAAAATAATTACTTAAAGTTTCTTCGTCCAAAAAAACACTATAATTATCTACTCCCACTCGATTTATCCACTTTCTGTTATACATTTGAAATAAATCATTGAAATATTCTTGAATTTCTGCAGATAAATTTTTTTTTATAAATATGTAGGTAGTATAAATATTTGCCGCTGGCAGCAAACTTATTGCTATTAATTTTCGGATAATAATAAGATTATCTTTATTCGAATCAATGTTTAGAAACGCAACAGTCCGTAGTATTATCCGAAATAATATGACTATTGTGATATTATTCATTAATAAAAATTATTCAAATAAACTTACGTGGCAATGAGCTAATGAAGTCCCTTTCAATTGAGGAATAGATAATCGCAGAGCTTCATACACTTCATTTTGGAAGTTGTGATAAATTTTTTGATACGTTACATTAAGTCCCAGAGTAGAGATCATTTGTTGAATTGTAGATTGATACGTATTGAAATTGGTACTATTTATTATAGCCAATTCTCCTTGAAAAGCCTACAACAAATCATAATAATAATATGATCATTTTACGTTTACTAATAAAATATAGTAGGGTAAGTCCGGGGTAGATGGCCACAGGGGAGAGACGGCCAATCGAAATAATTTATTAAACTGTTGACTAAATGTCGCTAGTAACTGTTTAGTTCGCTTCGCATCACGCGTGGGATTAAAACTACTACCAAATATTGGCGAAAAAAATCAAAAAGTAGGAATACCTGGTCAACGGTTCTATAAATTATGTTTTTTGGCTATCTCTCCCCTATGGCTATCTACCCCGGACTTATCCTATAATAATATTTAAGCTTATACTGACATGTGATCGATGAGGTATGATCATCACTATATTATTTCGGCAGATAATGTCATCTGGTGATGATCTTATTCATGAACAAATCTCATCATCTGAAAGCATCGTATATGAGACACATATACATAATATTAATAGAGTCCAATTAGGATTTAAGATATACGCAAAACTAAGCGATCTGGAAATTGTTGTTGTGTTCCTGGTTGTTCTGTTAATGAAAATTTAAGTGAAATAAAATTTTATAGATTTTCAACGCGGAGCTATAACCTCGAAAAGAGAGCAAAGTGGATAAAAGTGTTGAGAAGAGTCAAGTGAGTAAGCCATGTTTTTTTAAATAACTGATTTGGATACTATTGATATAAATTTATTATAGTAGATATGTTATTTTTTATAGTGATAATGGAAGTCCTTAGAAGCCAAGTTTAAGATCCCGTATATGCAGCCAACATTTTGTAGGAGGTGAAAAATCGGAGCATAGGTAATTATTAATTTATTAATCAGGAAAAATTTATTAAATCGTTGATACTTATTTTATTTTTAAGAATGTTCATTTCTCAATCACAGGTTTGCGAGAGCATTACGAAGAAGTCAAACTTCCAGCAATTTCGTAATGAAACATTCTAATCTAACTCGTGATCATGAGCTAAACGATAATATGGATATACAGCAAGACAGTGCAGATATTATCCAATCACTAGAACCGCAATTTGTTGGAGTTGCTACTAAGATAGATTTTTATCAAAAAGAAGTAGATTTAACTCATATAAATATGTTTTCGATAATACGTGATAATGGAGTAGCTTGCGAAGCTGGAACTCAAACAAATATTTCACTTAAAACATCTGAAAAAAAAGTTATGATTGTAAAGAGAACGTCTGAAATTGGATGTGAATCTAGCATACAATATGTAGATAAAAAAGTAGGACCGAATTCTCTGGATGGAGATGATTCATTACAAGTGTTTCAACAGGGTTTTCAGGGGTTGTCATCGATAAAAGATAATCAAGACATGATTGATCTTGCAGGGGTATCTTTCAGTCGTTTTCAATTATTATTCAAAGCAGCTGGTAACTGTTTCACAGAGTCAATATCAAAAAATAATATGCTACTTATTTTTTTGATGAAGATGAAATTAGGATTAACTTATTCATCTATCAGGGTTTTATTTGGTATTCACAGAACCACTGTATTACGAATTTTCTACACATTTTTCATGTATCTCGCTGATTCTTGTAAAAATTTAATTCAATGGCCTTCGAAATTCGTTAATCAGCAAACTATGCCTGAGTGTTTCAGGAAAGAATATCCTAATTGCGGGGCGATTATAGATTGCACAGAATTTAAAGTCGAAGAACCTCCAGAAGTACCTCAGCGTGTTTTTTTTACTCACACTATAACCATACGTATACGATTAAATTTTCAGTTGCATGTTCTCCAGGAGGAGAAATAACTTTTGTGTCTAGGTGCTTCGGTGGTCGCACTACTGACGCTCAAATTACCAATAAAAGTGGGTTTTTTAATTAGGTTGAACATGGAGATTTGATTATGGCGGACAAAGGGTTTCCATAAATAAAATCTGTTCTGAACAAAGCGGGGAAAAAAGTTGTGGTAGTTATGCCACCATTGTTAGAAAATGGTACTTTTACACTTAATGAAGTCCATGAGACGTAAAAAATTGCCGGCCTTCGAATACATATAGAGAGAATAATGTAAAGAATCAAAACTTATCAAATAACTAAGAACCTTCCCGTATCTAAATTTGGACATTCAATTAATATAATATTCATGGCTTGTGTGTTAGTTAACTTACAGCCACCGATAATAAAAAACAATTCGAATCATGAAAGTGTGTAATTAAATTGTAAATATAAATGTGCTACTTACAAATGTAAAAATATAATTCGAAAAAAAATAAAAATAAACGTATTTTATAAGATATATCTGTTCATTTTTATAATTTTTATGATTTACAGGTATTAACAGCTAAATTAGATAATAATTTGATTTAATTTGATGAACAGAAATTTCATAGGAACTTCGATATAATTTTCATAAATTATCCACATTATTTAATCTATAGGTATACAATTCAACGCTTAAATTATTTGATTTAATTACATTTAGTAATGATGTCTATAAACGTTCAACGTTATGTTGTCTATGTATAAAAAAATTTCATTTTTTGACTATTAAATTTGCTCGTATACCACAGTACTTTATAAAAACAATAAACTTTAAATATTTTAAATTTTCAAGAATTTAACGTCGTATAATCTATCATCAACTAGGTAATCATTACAGGATATCGTCACCTATGAATTTGGTAATTACAGATTGATGATATATTTGTTACGTACATTTGTAACTGTAACATTGAGTATGATATATGTGTTTTTTTTTCAATTGAACTATTCCATGATCTAAACTTTGAATATAGCCAACAATGTTAGCTTCTTGATCCCATATCGGTTTGGATCGACATGAAATCGGACATTTTATTTAACTATTTTAGTTATTACGCTATCACTGACTATTATTTCATCTACTGAAACTTCTAGCCAGGCCTGCATGGGTGATATAAATAATCCAATTTGGAACACGTAGACATCATGTTCCATTTTGCAGCAGTCACGAGCCTTTTGTTCATTTTCAACTCCGTAATCCAAACTCTCAGTATGTACAACTTTAGGATTCATGAACTCCTCCAGTAATGACTTAGCCGAAGTGCGAGTCATTGTTTTTATTTGATGAGCTTTTTTGCTACCTGTTATCCGTACACGACTTGCTTCGAACCATTCCGCTGTTCCACTTTGTTGTGCGGTTCGTAAACACAGTGTAAAAACACTAACATTATCCAATAATATCACATCATTATAATACGGTGCCATTTGTGAGGGCAAAACTAGCTCATCCTTTCCTATCATGATGCCTTGACTAGCAGCAATTATGAGATGGCTTATCACTCCTTTCGTGTACTGTGATAGTACTTCCATCGCTCTCTCCGCAAGAGATATATTTATGATTACTATGCACACTTCGTCTTTTTCACTTATATTATAAACTTTTAATCTTGTCTTGATGGAACATTTAATTGAGCAAAGTCTTCCAGCATAGAGTTGAGTGGCTGTAGAGGATTTGTAAGTGTTTGTTGAGGGAAAAGCTCATCTACTGTTGCTCCTCGAGAACATTTTTCTTTGGCTAAATGATTAATTGATGGGAAGCCCCACTCTTGTTAAACACTAGTTTTTGATATACTTCTATCATTGTTTATTTGGTAGATAATTGTCGCAATATGTTTACATTCCCCCGTTTCTTTAGCAATGCATGTACATTGTGCTCGTACCACCTCTCTTTCGTTATTAATCTGAATAAGACAAAAGCAATCTGTAAAAATTTCGATAGTAAAAGTACATAATTTCTTTTCGATTAAAGATGTTGATACTTACTTCTATCTCCAAATTGTATGGTTTTTCGGTGACCAAGGTTTGCCGGATACATTTTGCAATAATTCGATTGTTGATTGTGTCATCAACATATTCTTGAACATGTTTTAGATGATGGAAAGCTAATTTTATTTCTTTTTCTAATGTGACTTTAGTGAAAGGTATGAAGTGTTTGATACTTTCAAACCCGTCTGCAATATTACTGATGTCATGGTTTTGGGTTATGCTACTGATGTAAAACATTAATTATTTATGTGTGACACATTTCTATTAACGAAAATATGTATCGAAAATAAATATTTTTCACTTACTTTTCAAAGTAAACCTTTTACACTGATTACACACAGCGAAATGATTTGAGAATTGATTTTTTTATAAATTCGCGGTAAGATGCAATGATAGAAAAGGCGTCCAATAATATTTTGTTGCCCGTCAGCGGCGCTAGTAGTCATCAGGCACATAGCCAATACGCATAACTGATTTAGTAAACACAATTTTTAATTATTTATAGCAAATTCGTATGGTGATAAACAATGCATGTTTAATAAAAGTTATATTTACTCGTGAATAATAAAGTCTAGTTAACACTGACTTCATTTTCGAAAAAAATTGTTATTCTTTCGCTTAAAAGTATTTCTAATAATAAATCTTGTAATTTATTTATTTTTAGTTTTTTGCTATTGTTGAGAAAATCTCAACTTGTGAATTAACCTAACCGTTTAAGGATAGGGATGATTGTGCCGGAACAGAGCAAACGGAAGTCAGGTTTTATAAAAAATAAAGTATCTTTATTTTCAGCACTAACTGGTACACTAAATACACTGACAAACTTGAGTTGTTAACTAGGAAGACTGAATGTCGCTCAAAATCACTGAATGTCTATTTTAATTACTGAATCTGAATTGAATGTCCAAAAAATATTCAACTTGGTGTGTTCGGTATTATTGACCTCCCACACGAGCTCAGCACGCTTCTCAAGTTGAGCAAGAATGTGATTGTGCACGTGGCGTTAGCCTATCAATGCAATACAAAATGAATCTTGATGAAATGTCTTGAATTACACTGAAAAATCTTGAAATATTTCTTGATTCTAGGTTTAGAATGAAACTTGAATGACTCTGATGATTTTCAATAGCACTAGTACTGATGATTGACTCAAACTTGTAAGATTTGTGAAGAATGAATAAGAATATCGTGTACACGTGAACGAGAACAGTGAAAGAATGGCGACAGGAACTTCATTAGTCAAAAAGGACACAGAAAATAAGTCAAATGAGTGACTAGATTAAGAATTATTGATTATTTGGTCGATTGGTTATCGACCCAGTCCCAAGATGGCCGCCGAAGTTCCTGTCAGCTGGCAAATTCAAACTGAGAATAAATTAATTCTCAACAAATTGATATTGACAGTTTTATCAATGCACGTTTGAAAGATAACCCTGATGATGATGGTGTTGATGATAATGATGATTATTATTATTTTTGATAATTTTTTTTTTTCATCTTGCGATTCGTCAGAGGTGTCTGATCAGGGATCCCAGGGCTCTGTTAATTGATTCAGACCATCTTAAGAAGAGGATTGACTACGACAATAGCTGATTTGAGTTCCTCCCGTTTATGGGTTTTTGCGGCGACAAGGGCTTGGCCAAAATCTCTAACTGCGTAACTCTAACCAGCCTTGTGAATCGGCATTCGTGGAGTAGTGCTCCTGTAATCAGAGTACATCCAGTTGCTTTTCTTTCACAAGTGCAAACGCTTCTTTTGTGGGGTTAATGTTGAGATGGAGATTTTATTGAAGAAGACGGAGCTCGTCTGTCCTTCTAATGGCGGCATTCCTTGTGGTATTTTGGGATGGCGCCTGACCACCTGGAGCCGGGACAGTACTATCGCCGTCTTGGTGGTCCCGTGGTTCGCTTTCGTGATGTTTTGGTTATAATGATAACTATTAGTAGTATTATTATTATCATCTTGCGATTCGTCAAAGGTGTCTAGCCAGGGATCCCAGGCCTCCGACCCACCTGGGGCCCGACCAGACGGGATTATTCTGCAGACACCCGACTCTCTTAGATTTGAAGGTGACCCAAGGCTGCGGCCGTTTAATCAAAATTTTACAAACGTCTAAAGATTCGAGGAGAACCAAGGATGACCATTTTCTGCATACGAGCCGCGAGAATCTCAGCCTGACTACGGCAGACTGGTATTGTTCGAAGCTTTGTCAGAAGCGGTTCCTCATACCTCCGAGGCAGCCAATCACGAGGACTATCACGTGCGCTGTGTATTCGTGATAGACATTTTTCATGACCACCATGAGCTCTCTGTAGCGTTCCTGTTTACTTTCTTCTTTTTCACGTATATTCGTCTCAGCCGGGGCTGAGAACTCAATATAATATACGTGCTTGGTGGTATGGTCGAGAAAAGTAATACCCGGCTTATTGTGTTCAATACGTTGAGGTGTCGAGAGTGGGTAATTCCAAAGAATTTTTGCTCTCCCGTTCTCAACGACTAACTTCATTTTACCGGGCATATAGGGCAGATCTGGTGTCTCGTCTTTTCCATAAGAGTGCCATAGGTGATAATACAGCACTCTTAGGGCAGCGTTATGCCGGTGAATGTAGGCTGAGCGCGCTAATATCGGACAAGCCAATAACACATGAAATAGCGTCTCATCTACATCACCGTGGCAAACTCGGCATCTTGTGTCTTCGAGTTGCTCATGCATAACATCACGCCGATAGACGAGGGTGGAAAATACAGCATCTTAGCAGGCCACAATGAATCCTTTGGTCTCAGAGAACAAGCCAGCTGACTTAAGGTATTGGAAAGTCAGCTGGTGTGACAAGTCTTGTGTTTCAAGATGACGGTAAAACACACCATGTAAAGACTTTGCCACATGTTCGTCGAGCAGTTTTAATGCTCAGTCGTTTTCATATCGACCTTTCACTGCCCTCTGGTCAATTGCAAAAGCCTCAGACCGTCTGGGCTGCTAGGGTCGAAAACTGAGCCGAAGTTCTGCGCTGCCTGATATGCTGCTCTATATAGGAACGCATCCCTTCCTAATAGTTCAAAGCTGTTCACGAACTTGAGAAGAGGATCAGAGCTCCCATAGACGTCATAAGCCAGGCCTATCACTAACCTGTCATGTAGACACTGCAAACTTAGTAGTTCACGCTCTCCCAGATCACGAGGAAAGTATAGGCGTTGGACAGAAGATTGCGGGTGATGACTTCGATATAATGTCATCACTTTCCACGTGATAATGTCCAGATCTTTAAGCTCTTCTCGGGGCATTAAAAAAGTCCGGATGAGTATAGCAAG